TGAAGACGCGTCGCTGTTAATATGAGTTAGATTCATAACTACCAAAAAACCCTTACAGGAGCTTTAATGTATTTTGTTCATTTGTAGTTTGCACCAACATGGCATGCCTGATTCTTAGTCAAATTTGTGGATTGGTTCGGCACAGGCGAAGAGAAAGCCTGATTTGTTTTCAAGTGGATCTGGATCTGACCTGAGAGTACACATTTTGATTTTGAATTTGACTTTGATGCAATTCAGTCACCCAACACTCTAGCCTACTGAGATTGCACTGAGAAGCTAAGTTTTAATGTTTTTGCCGCCATATTGGTTATGCTAACTCAACCTAGCTTTAGGTCAACCTACTAAAGGATTAGTAAAGGATCTCTGATTCGCCTCGTCTTGTAAACTTGACAACTTTGAAATGAATATGTCTGAGCTATTCAGACCCAAACAGTTTTTTGAATCAGGCTGTAAACATGTTTATCTTCTAACGTGTATGTGGTCTGCTGAAAGCCTCAAGTGGACACTCTGGGAACTGCAGGTTTTAGCGCTTACTGACAGTCATTCATGGCGAGTTTATTTTGCTTTATTTTATGATTCATTTCACCTCTGCTGTCAAACCCATAATTCAAGCTAACTCCATTATCTATTGTTAAAAATGGATTTAATTTCTCACTTTAATCTTGTATTCTTGCAGCCCTGGAGGGGAAACGTGTCCTGCAGTCCGGTAAAACCAGACCACACAGAGACTGGGACATAAACCACAGTAAATAACTGACATAAACCGCACATATACGTGTAAAACAAATGTTAAAAGTCCCCAGGAAGAGCGCCCATACATCAGAGTCCATCATAAAACCCGGTTGCACATGCAGCCGTTTTCTCGCCAATCCATAAAAACACAGACAATAAAATGTAATCTTTTATCTGTGCGAGTGAATCTGTCTTCTTTTACTGTCCTTTAGCTCGGCTATAATTCACGCTTCAATGTAGAAATAAATAAATAAACTTTATTGTTCACCGCGGTTGAATATTTCACCGTGAGAGTGAGCCTCAAGAAAACAGATGAGGGTTCAACCGTAACATCTCAGATCGGCTTCAATCTGGATTTAAACCACATTCAGCAGCTTTAGCTTTAGAGTCGAGTCCACAGCAGACCTCACAGACCCTAAAAGTTTAATAAAACTTGAGCTGGATTTAACTCAGGCTTGTTTACCTTGTATAAATTCTTCCTTTCAGCCTCTTTGTGGCTAAACTTCCTCTTTTTTCAGCTGCTGTTTCTTTAAGAACACAATGAGGGTTACACGGTCTGAAAATTGAGTTTTTCTATCAGGTTCAAGGATCACAGCTAAAAAAAAAACCCTCCATTTTCTTAACTTCTCGCACTAAGAACAAGTTAAAACATCCTGTTCACAGTCTGCAGGTTTCTCTTGTCATGTGACATGTGGCTGACGGTAACTTTTCAAATCTAGGGAGGTTTTTATTTACGTTTAATAATTTGATCTAATCAAATTGTTTTAACATAATTCAGATAGTTTCTTGGCTGCTACTAAAAGAAAGGGGTTAACATGCAGCTTATTATAAGTTTCACTCACCAGATTTGTACCCGGTCCCCCTCTCCACTTGGATGTGGTTTGGCTGTGCACCTTAGCTCCTATTCTCCTGCATGAAATAAAGAATCAGCGATTTTCCACCTCCATCTGAGAACGTCTGACCTGCTGACTCCAGGTCTGGCTCTGCTCACGTAGAAGAGCCAACATTTCCAGTCTGAACCTTTGAAAAGGCTGGACGTTATATAGGATATGCAACATTTATCCGAACCATAACTCTGATTGTACATGGAGTAAAGCTTTCTGGTGCGCTGTTGGTGTTTATTTGTTCCTGAAAGATGATGCTGGTCCTTATATTTGCTGGACTAGAGGTCAGTTTCTCTTTATTCTGACCCTTGTGCTCCTGTTTGTTCTGCTGTCAAGAGACAGGTCTGCAGGAAAGCACCTGCACCGCACAGAAAAACAGACTCAGAGAGGAAGATGTGGTTTGAGGCTTTGGGAGAAAATGTTCCTGCAGCTTTCGTGTCTTTAAGCTGGAGGGCTGAATCACATTGACGTATTGCTGTATGCCCAGGTATACAGCATTTTCACATCATACTGGAAAAACTCCAAACTAAGTCAGAGTTATTCCTCGCCTCCTGCATGTCTTTCCCCACTCTCTACTCCCTTTAAGCATGTAAAAGACAAGATTGGAAAAGAGTTTTTCATTCACAAACCGTGACGCAAACCAAAAGTTCCTTTAAACGTTCAACTGACAGAGAAATCCACCTGATGAGTCCACATGAATGTCTTATTTAAGGATATTACCAGACAAAAATGAGAGCCAAATTGCTTGAAATGAGAAAAATTCTACCACTCCAGCGACTGAAAAGTACTCGTCAAGTTTCTTAAAAGCAGAGACGTGTTTTGAAATGAGAGAAATAATCTGATTTTTAAAAAGTCCTCAAGTTTAAGGCTTCAGCAGGTCTTATTTTTGGCATGTACGGTCTTGAAATAAGTAGCTGTTTTCATACAGTTTCAAACCCGCGTCGTCTGGTTCACGTTCCTCGCCTTGAAGGTAGATCAGGTCTCCATCGGCTCGCATCATCACAAGACCGAGACAAGGTCCCTGTGACCTCACCTGTCACCATCGCTCACCTGTGAGCCCCGAACGTCTTCAATCAATGCTCACACACCGTCTGCGCCGTTTGTCACTGTTTGTGTTGGCGTCGGGATCAGCGAACAGTTTTACACACCTGTGAAATGGACGTGTGTGTGTTCGTGTGAGAGTGTGTGTGTCTGTGTGTGTGTGTGTGTGTGCGTTCAGTCGTCAGCAGCGTGGCGTCTGACAGTACAGCTGACTACAGCTGCTGCACAAACGCCGTGAAATAATGAGACTGTGGCGACACTGTGGGAGAAGATTTCAGCCTTAAGTTTAAGTGTGTGTGTGTGTGTGTGTGAGTGTGTGTGTGTGTGTGTGTGTGTGTGTGTGGCAGATTTAGCCTTGAACTCAGCAGTGGGAATGAGTCATCGATCGAGTGTGTTCATTGTTTTTGACGTCATTGTTTTTTGAGATTCTAGGAATGATTTACACGCCCACGGTTTAAAATAAGAATGAATTTAAATGAGTAATAAAAACATCAAAATTTGACACAGATCTGAACTCCTGTGAGGCCGCGTTGGCTGGTTATGAAACCGACTGAAACCGACTTTGTCCTACCAAAGCGAAAGAGCGTTTAAGGTCATCAGTCAAATTTGTACGTATTGATTTTTAATGTCTGAATCTGCTGCCAGGGTGAAGAAGTCGGATTTAAAAACTTCATTTACATTTTCTGCTGCAAATATTCTCAATGAATAATACGATGAACTTATTATTCTTTTGTTCAAAACAAAAAGGTGCTGTATGTCTGACATGTTGTGCTGCAGCAGAACAAACGATCAGGCGAAGAGAGGAGAGCAGGAGGAGGCAAGTGTGCGTCTGAAAAGCCAAGGGACGGAGTTGTGTGAATGAGCGATAACAAGCTAACGTTTTCAAGCCTAAACAGTAGGGCTGCGCAATATGGCTAAAAAACAGTATCACGATATATTGAGCAGTTCACCTCGATAACGATAAATCGACGATAACTACTCCTCAAGCTGCTCACCCCCTCCCACATTAACTTCGTCTACTTCAGCCACTCCTACTTTTGAACCGTCCTCCATCTCCTCACCTGTCTTTCCCTCTTTGTTACAGACTGGATGGGGTGGAGTCACGTCTCTGACATACGACAGCATCTTAAAGGGACACCATAGCCTACCTTCACACATCCAAAACCAACTTTCATTTATTTATTTTGGACATGGAATATATTGACACAGGCAAAATGATGTTATTGTTGTAAATTTTGGTATCGGTAAATTTTCAGTTTTTCGCCCAGCCCTAGGTATCATGTTATAACATGGACACTAAGAGGCAGATTCAACAACCTTGTTATATTTATATGATTTAGCAATACTCAATACAGATTTAGGCTCATAAACTTTTAATTGACGTATTCTGTTGCGTAACCAAGTAAAGCTCTGTAAATTTCGGTATTGGTAAATATTCGGATTATCACCCAGCCCTACTAAACAGTGACTTCAAGCCTGTTTTATAACAAATAGATTCCCGGTGGTTGAATGTGATTGGTGGAAGAGCTCAGATCCTTTAACTTATAATAACAGAGTGAAAAATTACTTCTTTTCTACACATGAAAGTCTGCTCATCTCATGAATATTAAGCCCCAGCTCTGAAAAAAGGAGGAAAGTATTGAAGCATGGTCTTCTGAATGGGCCTTATGTTACATATTCTTATATTATCCAGTTAGTCAGGCGTGCTGTGGAAACAGTTTATTAATAATAACAATATTATTATTAACAATCATGGTTTTGATTCTTGCTATAACCCAGCAGCTCCATGTTTCTGCACAAAGGTTAGATATAGTACAGTTGGAACTTTATACTGTGTTTACATTTATAAAGCAGCAGGTTTGATCGTTAGAAATCAGCCTGATGAGATTTTTTAATGAGAAAAAATCAGTTTAAAGATCCATCCTGATGAAAATCATGTTTTTCTTGTTGTCTACATGTTCATATGGCATTTCTCTGATGCTACAGGACATATTGTGAGAAAAATAAGTGCATTTCTGAGTCTTTCTACATTCAAATCTTTGTGAATCTCTGACAGACCCAAACGGCAGGTTCAGACACAGTGAGATTTCCTATGTCACAAATCCAAGCTCCGCCCCCAGAGCCCCGCTATGCAGACCAGACTTGGAAAAGTAGAGAGGATGATCGTGGAACAACCGTGTGCGTTAGCGGATTTCAATGCTCATCAGAAAGCTAATTACGATATTAACTTCAATCATGTCCCCAAAGACATTAGTGTCCTGCTTTTTCTACTACACTGACAATGTTAGGCTGCAAGCGAATGTGAAGAGGAGAGTTCAGAGCAGCGCTGTCTCCGCCCACGACTCAGAGGCGAATTGTTTATGAGCTCTGCAGAAGAAGAGCCCTTAAATTTGACACAGGTAACGTGATTTTGGCTAAAAACTTCATAATCACAATTTAAAGACCACTGAGAACACTTTAAGTAGTTAAAAAAATGATTGTAGTGAGACTTTAAACATGTACGTGACAAAATCAGCTGAGAGATCAGAGGTACGTTACGGTCAAAGTGACTGGATGTCTCCTGTGGACTGGATTTTCTTCACATGAGCTTCAAAGACCTCCTATGTAAATACTACGTGGGTTATTCTTCAGCTTATTATGGTTTTTATTTTAGATCTTATAGAACAGGATTATGCAAAAAGACCCCCCACTGACAGACCATGACCACCCGTTGATGCCGTGATGTTGTCACATAAGAGAGGTAATGAGATCATGAAGACATGCACACGCAGCTGACATTAAAGACAGACGTCTTCACAAAGAAAATGATGTTTATTTGAATTCAGTTCGACGGGACATGTAAAAATCATCCTCAAATAACAGGATGATTTGAAACGACGCGGCTCTTTGGCTCTGTTGTGTTTTATGGAGGCTTTAATGAAATAAAAGTCTCAGTAATAAACTAATATAATCCTGGAGTCAGTATTTCCACATTTGCAGAGCTCTTATACGGCTCCATCTAAAAGCAAGTGCATTATCTCCGCTCTTCATGATTAAAAAGTGACATTATTTACATATCAGAATGTCATCGGCGTATTTGCATATAATTTATGAGCCCGGCACAATTAATGACTCCGCTGCGAGGCTCTAACAGGACAGACCCCCTGCCTAATATTGATAAGTATTCGGCCATTATTCTACCGAGCACAGGCGGCCGGCCGTGCTTTATCATCGAGTCACTTCAGATGTTTACGTCTGCAGCCGGTCGACGGTGCATGGGAGTGCACGCCTCGCTCTTTTCCAATGTGGTTAACCGTGACTGATCGGGCCCTGTATTGGGCGATGAGCGCGCGCTGATGGAAATAATTCAACATGTATCAAAGTTGGCAGCGATCAACAGGAGAGGTTTGCATAAATAAGCTGTACCCCTGCGGCCCCGCGGCGCCTCCTCTGAGCGCGTTTGTAGGTGGACGGCTGTGCGTGGGCGGACAGGGCGCTCATTAACATATTCAGTTTACAAATATAGAAGCATAAGTGACACCCGTGAACCTGCCTTCGGTTAAATCGCACCTAGAGAGTGCACACGCGCACACACACACGCGTCAACACAAACACATTTCTATGATCAAGCGCTCCTATTAAACATGGATGCACTCAAACCCTCCACTCACTCTCATCTCACGTTAAAGTCCTCAAGTGTGCTGTTTGATAGATCTTCCCCTTAAGTCTATTATCCGTGGAATACTCTGGTGGCACAAAAACAGCACTTTGAAGTCTTTCAGCTTCTTCCTGCTTATTCTTCGGTATGAAAACACAGACTCAACTCAGCCGCCGCCTGCTGCCTCTCTCTGATGCACAGCTTTCTGCTTGAAGAGTTCATTTTCTCAAGTGCCTGATATGCACTTGGAAATCCTTCCCAAGCATGTAATCTCCCAGTGTGAGGGGGGGAAAGACTTCTTTTTTTGTTTGTTTAGGACGCTCATGAATAGTTGTCTCTCCCTTCTTGGTAAAGCCGGAGTTGGTAGAGAAGGACTCAACAGTTTGTAGATACTTCTCGGTCTTGGTGGGCAAATACACACACACTGCACAGGTATTATCAGCGTCTCACCGCCTAACCTCATTGTTGGGAAAAGTTTAAAGAGCCAATAAAGAGAGGAAAATCCATCCATCATGGAGGGCATATCTAAAGGGCTGAATTTCTTGTTATCTCCAGGCCGTTACCGCTCTTTGATTTACATCTCTCCCATCTCTTATATTTTTTCACGGTGCAGCAAAACTGCAGAGATTTAAGGAGGCAGTAACATTGTAAAGACACCCGGCGCTTTTTCTTACTTATTTGCAGAAGAAACTGCTCGTTACACAAGCCGTCTGTGACCATCCATCACTTTTTTTAAAGAGCAGAGTTTTCAAACTGCGAGGCGAGAGTTTAAGACTGGACGGAGAAACTACCTGATCTGAAAAGTGATGAAAATACAGGATTGAAGTTGTTTGGCCCACTTAACCGAGAGATACAGCAGCGGCAGCAGCAGTCAGGTCCGCGGTTCACAGCTTGTGGAGGCAATTAAAGAGCTTAAAATAGCAAAAATTAATGGATGTTTAAGATGCAAAGATGCGTCATAGCTGGAAACTTCAGGTGATAAACTCGAAACAGTGAGGATATGATGAATGACGCCTCGAGCAGGGATTTCCAGGAGTGTGTGAAGTAGCTGAGTACAGATTTGAGTTATTTTTAAATAAGTGCAGGTCATTGAATGTTCCCAAACTGAGCTCCAAGCACAGATTCAGGGGTTTACAGCAGTGTCAGACTTTTCAAACACTCATTGTAAGCATCTTTACGAGGGAAATGTGCACCTCTAAGTCTTCTGTTTGGTTCAGTTTTCAGGAGGAGGAGGCAGGTGTGTGTCTGGAAAGCTAAAGGACGGAGTAAAGAGATGACTGATACAGAAACCGTTAAAATAATTGAGAGGATTCAGACGTAGAGCTGTGACAGAAAAAAATCAGTCTGCTCACTAAATTGTCAGCTCGTCTTCGGTTTCAAACTATTTTATTTTTCCTGCAAACTTTCTCCTAAACAAGACAACTCCCAGAAGTGAAATAAAATGTTCCCTTTAAATGTCTGCTAACTGAAACGGAGGTAGAACACATTACGAGCAGCAGAAACGAATCCAAAGTGACAAACATCCTTAGATACAGCTCCAGATATGACTGTCTCTAGAGGGGCAGCGTTGTTCCTCAGCCCCGAAAAGGACTCTGCGTCGAGTTAAAACAGAGTTAAAAAGCCTCTTTTAGTTCCTCTACTGTCTCACAGTCGACAGAAAACAACACACAGCATTAAAAGCTTGTCTCGCTCTTCCTCTCCAGCCAGCAGGGTCCCTGGTTTCAGTGTTTAATGGACGCTGAAAGACTCTCGGACAGAAACAGAGACACTGATATGATAAAAGATTTTTCTTTTTTTTCCACTCAGCACAACACGAGGGGGAGACGTCACTGTGAATTTAAAGTTTAATGACTTCCCCCCGATGTCTTTTATGGGGATGTGGGGATGGCAGGCACCAAAGAGGACTTATTTGTCATTTCTGAATAATTAAAGACCGGCTCTTGTTAGAAAAACCTTTTGTTGTCTTGTAACTGACTCTGAAGTAATCTCAGCGGCTCAGAGTGCATTAAGATATTGTTCTTCGAATGTATGCTGATGTGTTAGGCAGAACTGGAAATGTCGTCTAATGGAGTGAAAGTAGAAAAACTAATCTGACGTTTTACTGCTTAAAAACGTCAAAAACGAAACGAAAGTTGTCGTCGTAACGTACAAGGATAGTTTCTGCTCGGTAAGGTTTTCTTTTTCAGTATTTTGAAGTTAGAATATTTATTATCCGTCTTAAATCAAGAGTCTGTTTGCTAGATTCGTGTGAGAAGAGGAAAATACATTTTAACGAAACATCGTGACTCAAAGAAAAGGAAAAATTAAAGGATGGGATGTAAATATAAGGGTTTGTGACAGGATGTAAACAAACACACTGATGTAGAGAAAGACAAGCATTTGATGGGTGCTGATAATAGCTTTCATGCTAACACTAGCTTTTATGTCAAGGGTAGCTTTCATGCAAATAATAACTTTCATGCCACTGGTATCTTTCATGCTAACAATAGCTGTCATGCCAACAATAGCTTTCATGCTAACTATAGCTTTCATGCTAACAATAGCTGTCATGCTAACTATAGCTTTCATGCTAACTATAGCATTCATGCTAACAATAGCTGTCATGCTAACTATAGCTGTCATGCCAACAATAGCTTTCATGCTAACAATAGCTTTCATGCCATTTGTAGCTTTCATGTTAAAGGTAGCTTTCACGCTAATAATAGCTTTCATGCTAACACTAGCTTTTATGTCAAGGGTAGCTTTCATGCAAATAATAACTTTCATGCCACTGGTATCTTTCATGCTAACAATAGCTGTCATGCCAACAATAGCTTTCATGCTAACTATAGCTTTCATGCTAACAATAGCTGTCATGCTAACTATAGCTTTCATACCATTGGTAGCATTCATGTTAGCGGTAACTTTCATGCCATTGGTATCTTTCATGCTAACAGTAGCTTTCATGTTAACAGTAGCTTTCATGTTAACAGTAGCTTTCATGTTAACAGTATCTTTCATGCTAACAGTAGCTTTCATGCTAAAGTAGCTTTCATGAGGCAGTGCTGCGGTTTGCTACAAACTCACTCTGCCTGTTTATAGTGTGAGACAGAGCGGTCATTTTTCACTGTAGATGATTTAAGTTGGTAGAAACTAATGTATTATCACTTGTGCTACTCAATTAAGTTCTCAGGACTCAAAAGTGTCCTGTTGGCTTATCATTGACAAAAAACCTCTATCAGATTTTTGCTTTGAGTATACCTGTTTCCATCTCTGTGAGGATTATTTTGGATACTCTAATCTTAAAGTATGCCCAACTTTAGTACGCCTATTTGGTTCCTTGGAAACTTTCCACCAAGACACAAATTAGAGGATGTAAACTTTTAACTCTTAATTTAGTTCAATTCTAAGAAAAGTGAGATTTTCTTTTTTTAAACAGTAAAAAACAGTTTTAACAGTAAGAGTGACCACACACAGCCAACAACAATCAAATATTGGTTTATTTATCCGTCTTCTCTGACAGCGGTTATATACGGTCTAGTTTTCCACTCTTGTGCAGGGCTTGTGTTATAGCTGCTGTCAGAGGGATGAACCAAGTTTGACAAAAGTTCATGAAAATATTTGTCAGGGGAAAAACTGTCGAGGAAACTCGGCTGTAGACCTCTGCAGACTGGGTTAATTTGACCACTTTAGGGGTCGAGTCCACGAAGGCTCTTGGTTTTTTGTGTCCACAACCTCTATTTGAGAGAACTTCTTATCAGAGTTTACTGTTGCCTGGTCAGAAAAGTTGTACTGCAGCTGTCCATGACTCTTAATATTTACTGCTGGGTCTGTTTTATAATGCTCTCTAGGAAAGAAAGTTGATAGAAATCATGTCATCGCATTTGTTGAAGCTTTAGACCTTGAAATTGTTTGTTTTGGAGATTCATGTATGCTTTAAGACTGGCTTCAGTCACCGCTAGTGTGTCTTTGCACTCGCTCCAGCTCTCAGTCATGCTTCCCCATCAAACCCAGAAAAGGTTTTTAAATATTTGATCGTTTGTTGACAGTTTGTTGGTTTTTAAGAGCCCCTGAACTGACCCACCAACCTGCAGTATCACCACCGGCCTTGTTAACCTCTCCAGGATTGTATCTAGAACATTTTGTTCTCTGACACAGTAAAAGCACGACCTGCTGCCCCCCTGAATAAGACTTGGCCTCACAGAATAGTTGAGACTTCAATTTGAAGTAAAACCAGTTAACCACAGGGACTGAACACCTCTTCTGTTCACCTGGGGTCACATGGATCAACAAAGGATCTCTCACAGTCAAACACTTCCCCGATTGTACATTTCTTCCTTGAGCTCCCCAGTACATCCAAATCAGGATCGGGGATACAGGTTAGGACCACGGATCTGTTCGAGGTCTTAGTCTGAGCCCCCAAATCATTAAACTTTGAATAGAAGTCGCTATCAAAGCTCAGGCTCTCTGACACATTCAGAAGGAGCCAGCAGCAGATGAATGTAAGGATTTACAGTCAGAGCACCGAAGGTCACCCACCCAGAGGCTCTGACTCAGAGGAATAGTGTGTCCCCGGGCTGCTGCATATCCTCCTTTGTCTTCCTACTGTTTAATGATAAGAAGTGCAAGAAGAGGAGCTCATTCTGTGGGGGGGGGAACCTGCTTTGTCTCTGTGGTTACCCTGCAGATTTCAGCTCGGCCCTTTTCCAAAAATACCACAAGATACAGGCGACTAGTAAGTACGGCTGGATGATAATAGCAAAAATAATAATCACCAATATTTTGACTGATATTGAAATCATGATTAATGTTCAATATAACTGGAAAGCACCATAACTAAATTACTAACAAGTAAAAAAAAAAATTTGATCAGCGTGCTCCCTGGTGCAGCGCCCATGTGCACACACATGTTCTGTTACATATGAGTCCGAATTATAGCCATGTAAATTAAAAACAAATTTTTAAGGTGTGCAGCTTTTATTTAGCCGTGGCGGTGTGCCATGGTCAATTGCATATAGGGTAAACCTTGAAGTTGGTCGTCTTCCCTCGGGGTTCAGACACGACAGGATGACAAACTTTGCAAACAATTTCCTTTTGTACGACCTCCGTCAGCTTGAAGTCAAAATGTTTCCAGTTTACTTAAGTCGTCCTTCCTTTCTTCTCAACCAAAGGCTGCCTTTCTTCCATGATTCTAATCGCTCGCTCCTCATATTATTGATCCAAACGTCACACGCTTGCTGCAGCAGCATGTAACTTACAGACACACCCCACCGTGTGCCAAATTAATCATTTTTCTTTGATTATAATGTTTTAATGAGTGTGAGAAGCCAAAGTCAAAATCATGATTAAAATTCGATTCATTGGACTCGCCGACAATGAGATAATTCATGAATTTTCTCAAGTGAAAAGGCTCCATGGATAACAAAGGAGAGCCAGGTGCAGGTCCAATAACGTCTGACCGTGTGTTTTTAGCTCTGTTCCGTTTTCAACAACCAGCTATGAGGGCGACGCCGGTTTATCGCTTTACAGTTGCTGAAGTTTCCAAACTTGGTTTAGAGTAGGGATGGACGATATGGGCTAAAAAAAGAATCACAATAAAATTTGCCATTCTGGCGATAAGTTTCAAAGTTCTGAAAAAAGAATACTATAATTCCAATCTATATCTTTGACTAATTTTGTCTCGTTTGAGAACATTTTCAACATTTGTTGAAAACTCTTGTTGCACAGAGTGAACAGCAGCAGATCCACTGTCTGATGTCAGGTATACCTGATTGCGCTCATCTAAGCTCCAATCTTGAAGGAAATCCCTCATTTGGATCCTCGTTTAGTGACGAGCTGCTCAGAAACGTCTTCTTCGTTACCTTTAGCCATGTCTGTTTGTTATTCTGCTCTGTGTGGACTAGGACTGCGAGTCCGTCGCTCGCACTTACGTCATCGACTTGGATTTATCATATTTATCATGAGATGACGAGTAGTTATCTTGGAGGATTTTTCTGACAATATATCGTGGACGATAATTGGTCGCCCATCCCTAGTTTTTTGCTCTTTTTCGTTTTCAACAAGTAGCTAAGAAAGCGACTCCGGTTTAACGGTTTATTGTTGCTGAAGTTTCCAAACTTTGTTTAGAGACAGAACAAACAAACTCAAGAAGCCTCATTTACAGACACAAACAAAGAGAAGTTAACAAAGGTCATTACAACTTGCCCGGAGATTATGCACCATCATGACGGCGTGGCTGCAGGCGCTTCTGGCGAGCACAGACCTCCTGCGGTGAAGCTCTAAACAACCTGATGCAGTTCATAAATCCACAGGAATAGGATTTTAAATCATGGAAACATTGTTTTCATATAATAGAGGATTTCTGCTTTGAGATGACAAAAATAAAAACTCACAGTGGACAAAAAACTGGAGGGTTAGAGAGAGGTAAGAGAAGGAGGCAGTAAACTAGTGGGGAAAAGGGAGGAAGTCATACAGAGGACACGTCAGACACGTTTTAGCTGACAGTCTTATCCGCAGTGAGTTTTTCTCCTACAAATACACATATAAATTCCTCGATCAACAATCATGACAAGCCATCAAAAATGAAGACCTCGAGGGTCAGAGCAGCAGTGCATGGAATAGAGATGTGATAAATGTTCCTGCAAATGTGCTGCATTTGAAAAACCGCAGAGAAAGAGTGGAAAGTTTTCAGACAGAGCGAAGCAAATATTCAGATACTGTGAAAATGTGACACGGTGCAAATATTAGGAATACACCCTCGGAGTGTTTTCAGACACTCTCTGACAAGTGTTTGCACCCTGGAGGAAAAACGGTGGGATTAGAGGAGATGGACACAGAGACAGCAGAGGACAGACAGTACCTGGAAAGCAGACAGATGAGATAGACAAAGTTAAAGACAGAGGCTCGGAGGATACACTCTCAAGCACACACAAACAGAGAGAGAGAGAGAGAGAGAAAGCCGACAAGCTGGTCTTTTCATGGCTCATTCTGCAGGGGATCAGGGGAGGGAAACGGCCTCTCAGCAGATGGAATATTTATCATGTCTGGCTCCGAATTCGCTACCCAGTCACAGCTGAGAGGCAGTGAGACGGCGGGGACAGATCTGGGCTGCACAACACACACTGCGCGGATTGGGACGCCTCTGCTGCCGTTCGGGCTTCCTGTGCCCATGATGGCGATGAAGGGTTTGTCACCAACCTGTCACTCTGCAGGCGCCGAGCCCGGCCCACCCGACAGCCAGAGACGACACAAAACGGCCCTCTAATGAGTACAAGGCAGCGCTTAGCGGTTTACTGGCTGCTGGGTACAAGTTACAGGCGTGGTAGTGGGTTTTTTTTTTTCAGGGATGCACATGGCCCATCCAGGAACCGGTGGGTATTGCTCACAGTCTCTAGCGCTGCCTGTCAGCTAGTTTTAGGATTGTCCTCTGAAGTCTGTTGACAGCATTTCCAAAAAAAACCAACGTCAGCTTTAACACGTCCGTATCAAAACAACAAAAAAACGATCCACTAAAGTAAACAAACACGGAGAAAACAACACCCCACTGAAGCCACGCCAAGAGCGGAGGTTTTCACTTTTTGTTACGAATGGATGTCATCTGTTTTACCAACTCTGTCTGCAGTTTGTGCCCCCATAAAGAGAGCGCTCCTATTGATCCATTTACTGTTTGAAGGCAGTGACAACATACTTTGGCTAGCAAGAGTTTTGGCGACGGAAGGACGGTGGAGTGCAAAAGTGTTACCGCGATCAAAACAAGCTTAAATATGACAACTCTTAGATTCCCATCCAGATAAAACTCAGTGTGGACAGTTTTTCTTTAAAGAAATAGTATAATGATAGATCAACACTGACTCAATCTTGTTTTCTGTACAATATCAGAACTGACTCACTGTAAAATCCACTCGCTCTGTGAGACCGGCAGCTTTATAAACTCTGTGGCTTTTCTATCCCGCAGAGAAGATCAGAGACTGTCCAGATCCAATCTCTGAATATGGGGGAATCTGTGATGATATCTCTGTTAGTTTTGGTCAAATGGTTTCATTTTTTTTGTTTGAGTAATTAGAGGCTGTGTCTTTAAAGGTCTAGTTAGAGACGAGGACAGAAATGAATAAGACAGAAGTGTTCTTGATGGCTCCTGCATCCTGCCCAGTTTATTTTAGTTCCCATTCATGACTGTTCAGACCAGCTGTTGCAGATTGTTTGT